GACTTTAGTACAAAATCTCCCTCTGTTGTAAAATGTATTAATTATAATTCATCTATTGAACATTTGTGGAAATAAATATTGTTGAACAATCTGTCTGTAATCATAATTAAAGTAAATCTAAATTGCATACTTTGAAATCATTCTACTGAAGTGCTACGGAAACAATTGTATTATTTTATTAATTAAAATAAATATGAAATGTGGTACTGTGAATGTTTTAACTTATTATGCTGCTACAGAATCCATTATTTCCTCCTGTGTGAAATAATTATGCAAACGCATTTGAAATGTGAAACTCATATTGCATAATTATTTTTAATTTGAATAAAAATAATTACGAGTATGCGGTATCAACTTTGTAATTTATTTTAAATTAGTGTATTGAAATTTTAACCATAATTTAAAATGCATTTTAAATTTGTTTGTTGATAATTGTTGAAATAATTGGATGTAAACAATACATACACGTAAAATGAATACAATACAATCGTAACTGGTCGCTGTCTGCACATGGATGGGGGGGAGCTTTATTAATGCAATAGAACCCAAAACAATGATATTTATAACTTTTGTCTGTTTGCTTGTACTTTTGTGTACGCTAATCTTAGCAATGGCATAACCGATTTGAATATAATTTTTGCTAATGCATTGCGGTTTGCCCCACTTAATATTTATTGTTTGTTTTATTTTAATCAGTTCATAAATAAAACAGTTTTATGAGTCTAAAGAATCACATACAAAATGATATAAAATAATCGATCAGTTGAATTTAATGAAACTTTTTTTATTATGTGTATTGATTTTCGAAAATTCTGTCTACTCATGCAAAGCCAAATCGGATCGCTAGTTTTGTAATAAATTAAGAACGGTATATTTGTAATGTAGTACAATATGATATATGTTAAAAATATATAATTTATAAAATATATATTTTGCCCGTGTGGGCCCGTCATAGAATAGGCTATACCTTCCTTTCCCGTGGGTGTCGTAAGAACCGACTAAGGGAGGGCGAGGAATGGACAGCAGCGTCCTTTTTAAACATCTTTTAAGCCTGACTGCAGTTGCCAATCCGCCTGCTAAGCGTGGCAAATACTGGCAGAACCCCCCAAGGAGGAGGCTTATGTTCAGCAGTGGACAGTTAAAGGCTGATATGATGATGATGATATAATTTATATATATATATATATATATATATATATATATAGATACTCTTTATTGTTTCCTCTAAAAGATTACAATAGTAAACTTATTATAGATACAAGATACATAAACAATTACAAGAAAACATCACAATGAGAAAATAACGGGCAACCTTATCGCATGTATTATTATGTAATATTCTAATATATATTAATATTTCATGTATAACTGTTTATTTGTAGCTTATATATTGATTAGTATTAATAGTTGTTCGTAAAGCACTCGTGCACTTCGGCTGCCCGCTAACGACATGCTTTCCAACTGTATTGGGTTGAATGTAAGAGATCTCTGTCAGAGATAAGTCCACCCTTGTGTCACAATATTTATAAATTTACTTTCCATGTAATTTTCAAGTGCAATAAAGAATATATAATAATTAATGTTCCTAAAAATTTCAAAAGAAATAATACATGAAAAGGTTTAGACATAAGACAGTAATATATTTTTTATTCAACTTAGAACAGCAAACAAGCTGACGCCCCACCTGATGGAAAGTGGTAACCGTCGCCTATAGACATGAGCAGTACCATGGACATAACAGAGTATACTGTTACGCCCATGATACCCCCCATGCGTTGCCATTCCTGAGGACTCAGGTGTTATTCCTCTGCACCCAGTAAATTCACGCCATATCCCACCCTTCAAACCGAAACACAACCATGCAAACACAACTGCTTCACGGTAGAAACACGAATGCGACAGAGTTACCCAAGCAATCGACTTTTGTACAAAGTCTCCCTCTGGTGTTTTAGTGCAATAAAGAATGTATATAAAATATTTTAATAGCTAAAAATGTGTATCAGACGTTAGAAGTAAGAATTATTTACAAACTGATTCGAAAGTTGGTATGAATTGCGGGATAAGCATTTTCTCTGTAAGTTAAGTAGTACCTATAAATAAGTTAGTAATCTTAGTTTGTAAGAGAATAGATCACCTAATCTGACGTAATCCTCATAATTTCATTTTTCGCTAGTATTCTTTCATTGTACACTATTCACACAGCACCGGGCCATATGTTCATTCTTCACAACCGGGTCAAGGCAACAGAGCTCCGAGCCAGTGTCCAGTGCTCAGTGTCCCGTCAGGGATTTGGCATCAGTTATCCGCGATTTCACGCAAAAACAAACTGTGCAAGTTAAAAGGTCGTTCCGTTGAAGTCCTAATCAAAGTTTATATTAACGTATTACCTGTCAATTGACTTGTTCGCCGAGAAATAAATAAAGTTGCATGTATTTGTAATATTTAAATATATAAAAATAGATTTATAAATTATCCAATAGCGAGTTTACAATCGAGGCCTTTCAAGTGAGAGAATTCGATACCTCTCAAGAAGCCATTCGTGATTTCGTCGACTGAGTCGCTAGGATACCATTATGGATTTTATTATGGAAAACGTGCCATGGTTACGTCACTCCTAAGTACTCCAATGATTTCCTTGTTTATTAGACGAAAATTGAAATTTATTGAAATATCTGACTTTCTATATTTATTTTATACAAAAAGCATATATTGCTTTCCTAGTTGTTGCATAACGTCGCGTTAACTCGATATCGTTACGAATGAGACAGCAGCTAATTTTTACAAAATCTTATGAATACGCAAGCATTTCCTCGTTCCTTACGAGCAGTGATAGAAACTAACGGAGCTGTGTGAATGCTGCTTTAGGATAGTGTATCCACCACTCCATTTTCGTCCATTAAAAACTGTGTGCAAGGCGTGTTACTAAAGCCGGACACGGGCTTTTGAAAGCTTGTTTGCCTAAAGTAATGCTATCTTTCATTGCTACTGCAAGCGTTAGCGTTGCCCAATACTAATCCATTTTCGCTATTCTTTGCTACATCAAATATACTATATATTAAATAGATTCAAAGTATTTTTTTTTTTATTCAAATAAACGATATGAATTTTAAAAGTAGATTTTATTTAGAAATATAATAAAATAATAATTCTAAATTTTATAATTTATAAATTAACTAGCTTTTTGCCCACTATTTTGTACGCGTAGATTTCAGAAGGAAAAATAAGTCTTAGATGGCGTATTAAGAACAAATATACACCACTTTTTAAGTTAGATCTTCAGAAATACATCTGTGAAAACTGTATTCAATTTAATGCAGTGGTTTTTGATACTGGAACAAACATAGAGACAAAATTTCTAAATATTATTGTTTTGGCATTTATTAGTATTTTTAAGACCCCTTATGTAATGCTTTTTTTTTTAATTTCCCATGTACAAATTTAAAAAAAAATTTATTATATTAGTAATATTTACGCCTACTATTCCTCCTTAGATGTCAAGTATATATTCTAAGTATAAGTTCTAAGATTTGACTAAAGTAAATAATTTTCTTCTATCTCATTGTGCACTAATAAGCAACAAGTATCTATATTAAAATTTAAAAAATAAATTATCAGTATTTTACAGTTAAAAATGTGTATACAAATTCTTTGCTAGCAATTCAAAAAAATTCGTAATATTATTTTGTATAAGTAAATACACAATATTTATGATGACATAATACTTACATATATTATTAAAGGAAAAAGAAGGTAACAGTTGGTAAGTACGAAATAATATTATGATTTATAGCAATGAAAATAAATGACATCAGAAGAATTAATGGTATTGAAAGGCCGGTGAAAATATCGAACGAATATGAGAGGCATGTCATTTAGTGCTTCAGTCTTTGAAAATAAAATGGTGGAAAGCAGAATACCGCAGACGTTTTAAATTGTCTATTCGTGACTTTTATTCACTTTTACAATTTTATTCTGTTTTATACAGATTCTTTAAAGTTATATGTAACAACTGTTATACCAATCATAAAGCATAGAATAATAGTGAGGATGGTAATCTAATAAAAGATTTTCACATATTATATAACAAAAAAATATAATTCTTAAATGCGTAGATTTACAAAAAAAGAAAAACCAATATCGAGAGCTGCACACAAATATTACGTATAAAAAAGTATCACTAATTATAATAAAATAAAAAAAAAAACTGGTCAAATATTGTTTTTTAACATACAAAAAATATCTATAAAGAGATAGGATATTTATTTCTAGAGCTCCAGCTTTTTAGCTTTATAACGTCACAGATTGGTTAAAATAGTGTATACGATTTGGGTGTAGATAGGCGCTCCATTTACGGTGTTGTTTTTTGTATATGATCGTATAATTTCTTTTTTTGTAAATCTATGCTTATATTGATCAAATTGGCAAATTAAAAATTACTGCTATTTCAAGAGCGACTTTCTTACTAATCAGTTGTATCGTCTGCGATTTTCCGCAACTGATGGATTATACTTATAGTGATTATATTAAAGAAACTAAACGTTCATCGCAACATTACGCTATATAAGAACATTCTTATAAAAATATCTAGACAAAACTAATATTTGAAACACAATACAATCACAAACAGTCATGCAAGCGATCACTCCCTCCTGCCTAGTGTGTTATTAAGAAAGTGTTCATATAAAATGCAGTGTGTACTAACGCATAATCGAACCTCTTATATACATTAGCTAAAGAATCGAACCGCTATGGCCATTGATGCTAACCGCGGTGCTATGGTCCGATGTTACATGGTCAGGATAGTGAGATGATTCGGCCAAACCGCTAAGAATTCGCATCTGATATCTGCAATATAAGATATTTGGGATGCCAAGCCAAGGTGAAAAATGTAGAGTAGGGAGACACATCGACACACAGATTCGTATGAATCAAATGCAATGAAGCCAATTATAAAAGGCGGTAAGCTAGTCTTCAATCTCTCGCTAGGGTGTGGCACGTACCTAAGTAGAAGCTCCCTGAGAGTGGCTTCGTCCTCCTCCGTCGGCGCATATCGTGTCAGCTTGCCTCCGCCCTCCCGGGCCACATGCTCAGGTACCACTGCGTCAAAACTCCTTAGTTTATTTTTTAATCTTCGACAACGACGGACATATTATGCTTTCTATTTTATTTCTTTGACGACTATTGCAACAGCATTCCTAACTGGGGACTCTCCATTTAAGTAACAAACTCGACGCCTACGCGACGAACAGTCGTTACTGTTTATATTATTGTGACACTGCCATCAGTATTAAACCTAGTCCCTAAGTGATACATTTGAGACGTAACAAACACAAAATCGAACCAATATCAACACCGTACTGCCAATTAGCTTCAATGGCCACGATAAGCGGGGACATCATTAATTTTGAGAATCAAAAATGTGCTCGTGCTACGTGTGACGCGGGCTTTACAACCAACACATCACGCTCAGTGTCCAAATATAACGAAGCAACTATAACCTACTGGATAACATCTTCGGTCAACTGCGATAACATCAATTCGACTACATTATCATTTATATAATATAGGTATAGTGCTTGCATGCATACTTGTAAGTAACAGCTGTAGCACCATTTATGTCAATTTTTATTTCAACATGATCCATTTATAAAAATAATTGACACATAAGGTAATGGATAGGGACTAGTAGGTGTTTTAAACAAAATAAAAAGTCCACATATAACGTCACTGTATATAACAACTAGAAATACAGGATACTGAGAAAATTTAGCTACGGAGAGCAAATTTTTATAAAATACTTGATATGTTGCTAAACTTTAAAACGACTAGGAACATAGGTTAATACTGGGAAACACATCGTATAGTGGATCAAATTTCGATTTGGGGTTTTTTAAACACATGCAGGTAAAACAGCATGATACTAACAAATACATCAAATGTTTCGTGCGATGATTAGATTTTACATATTCTATAATTATATCACACAATTATAAATAAATAAATATAAAAAAAATCAAAATTTTGTAATAAGTTTTATCATAAGTCACATCTCTTCTTTTTCAAATTCGCTACTGTCTCTTGGTCTTTTTTTTTTATTTGTATAACTTAGACCAATACAGTGCGAACAAATACTTTAAAACTATAATCTCGAGCTTTTTCATATCGAATTTATACATTTACACGTATAAAAAAAATAACCAGATCGTGTGGTTGCACTCATCAGCATAACACAAAAACTGCATGACGAATTTTAATGAAATTCAGTATAACAGTAACTTAATTCCTAAGTTCTACTGGGAACTAAGCACGAGTATATTTATACTGGTTACTTTTTACTGGTTGAGTACTCGCTTACAATAAAAAAAAAATAGATTGCCACTGTTATAGTTTATTCTATTCTAATATAAATTCATATATATATATATATATATATATATATATATATATATATATATATATATATAATTATAGGGCAGTATAACACTGCTCTGCTACCAATAATAATAAATGATACCTAATTCTACCGTTTAGACCAGCCTTTTCCAAAGGTCGGTAAGAGTCCCAGAAAAAATTATTAATTTACACAATAATTGATTAATTTAATTTGAAGTAATAGTGGTTTTTATGTAGATGAAAAATAGGGGGCGCTAATAAATAATTTATTCTCAAAGTGGGCAGTGAACAAAATAAGTTTGGAACCCCTTGTTTAGACCTATTCACTATACCCTACCTTACATTTGGCGATAACCAACATGGCCTCTACCACGAGGGCTGAGTTATTTATTTTATTTGATCGACTGGCTGTGCTTTGCAGTCTCGCAATACGCGGGAGGGGGGAGGAGGGGTTGTTAATAATGGAGACTAAGAGCCTCATTGCTAGCAATAGACCCAACAAGGTCGATATCCATGTGGTCCCCCTGGAAACCATCGTGCTGAATTCCAAGTGTATTCATCACGATGAGCTAACTGACCTGTCTTTTCATCCTCATCTATCATCACTCATACTAAAAAAAATCTCGCAATACGTTCATCCAAGAAAGCCAGTACACATATTTTACAATTATAATTAAAATACATAATATTAACATGGTAAAAATACCATAAATTCATAGAAATAACATTCACATTTTAAATATCTAAATATAAACACTCTGTGGTCATAGGACGAAACTCCAGCAATTTGGAGGCAACGTCTAATTGTGGATACTGGCTCAAAACATCATTGAGTAGTTTCAATGCAAGAGAGAGGGGAGCTTGCTTGGCCAATTTTGTTCTTCTTAACAGAGCATCTATTACGTTATAACTTAATGGCTAACTGGGTATCATTTCAGTTCATCCCCTTTGACACATTCATTCCGTTATTACCATTTCTCTATACGACATGAAATAACCGGTAAGCTAACGGCCTATCTAACCTTGAAATGGTTACTATTGCTAAAATATAGGTACTGATATAAACAGCACCGTGGCCTTTACAGAAGCACTGCCTACAGTATATAGACTTCATGTGTTACCATTCCTAAGGACTAAGACGATATACCCGGCCAATCTTTTGCCATATCTCTCACCGTTCAAACCGCAACCGGGACTGAAGTACCCATGTACATAAGTTTCTATAAATAATTTAAACTAATATTATTAAGTGAAAAAATTTGGTTTGACTCCTTAACCGATTTTTTTAATTCTTACACTTGTAGTGAGTCACATTATCAGAGAGTGATGTAGGCTGTATATTAATTAAGAATCCATGCGAGATATTTCTATAACGAGACGATGAAGTAATTAATTAAATACGTATATATCTATTAAAGAATGATCAAATGAAACTGTAGTAACTATGTTTTAACTAATTCATAATCCAATTACCAAATGGTAAATGTACAAAAGTGATTTTCACGAAATATCATATTATATGGAGCTGGAATGATATCGTTGAACGAACCTATATTCATTATCTTCGTTTCAATCCCAAGAGTAAATATTTCACAGTGTCTTAATAAATTTAAACCTTTCATTTTACCATACTATTTTATGTAATGTATACCTATTACATTATTCTATATTAATATTAATATTTGTATGAAATTACAGAGAAACTAGCTTTTACTTTTTCGCTTAGCTCTCGATTAGACATAGTTATTATAGGTCCGTAAAAAACAATCTGTTCTAAGTGTTCACTTAGACGATTTATAAGGAATCTCTGTGTTTTTAACGTATCTAATTCAATGTATTTTAGTTTTCATATTAGTTTAAATTTTGAAATGTGAATATAGATTTCAGATAACACTGTTTTTTTTTTTCGAAAAATGCAATGGAGCGCTACGATATACCATGTTGATACAACGTAGCAAATTAGACAGAGTAAAAAGCAATAAAAATCTCTTACAAATATACGTATTTGGAATTTAGTATTTGAATAATTATAAATAGATCAACATAATTCATGATCAATAAACTTGTTCGTTTAAAAATCCCCATAAAAAAATTTATATTGAAGAAAATATTGCATAACATAACACACCGAATATATATATATATATATATATATATATATATATATATATATATATAAAATATGAAACAATTTGTTAAGTTCCTCCTAATTGAAAATATTTTAAATGAAATTATTAAATTTCTAAATGATAAACGAGCGTTAAATAAATTAACCTAAAATGATCAGAAACAAAAAAATAGGATGAAGTTATCTTCAAATAAATAATAATAAAAAAGAATAGTTAATACGTAATATATAATAATAAAGTTGGGACAGGCCTATGTCCAAAAGTGGACTGCAGTAGACTGATTTTGATGACGATAATAAAGGAAGCACAAAACAAAAATTTTTGAAATAAAGAGTACATGAAAGTAGATGAAGTATAGAACAATATTAGAACCAATATATAACCTATAGTATATCTGAAATATTAATAATGAAATTAATGACAAAATTTATCTACAATTAAAATTTCATCTTTTCACAGTCTATTGTGTGTTAACCTGTGAAATTATTAAAACGCCAGAGTGCAATCCTATTATGGATGTTTAATTACAAATGGCGACGGATATTGGGATTTATTTATCACCACTAATGCTGTCCATTTAGATTAAAATATATTATGCATTGAAATCCATAACTGTTCTATTTAGTTATTCAATTTACACGACTGGCTTTATAGATTATTTAATAATAAAGCGCTAAAAGCAATTATTTTTGCTTCACCTACTTTCATAATATATTATAATAATTTTTATTCAAGTAAACTTAATGATAAGTACTTTTAAATAATCATTTTTTTATAAATTTACCGCCCAGTTCGGAATGCAATTTCAGCTGAGGAGAACGGGCAAGAAACACAGCTGTTGCTTTTTTTTTTTCAAATAAAAGTTTACAACAAAAACTGTGAATGGATAAAATGACTATCACAAAGTTAGTATCGATAAAAGAAAGAAATTAAAAAGCTACATAGCTACAATCGACGACAGTGTTCACGAATCAATTACAGTACTATAAGTTGATATGTACATATTAAGTAGCTTAGGACCATTCCTTATTGTAGTCTATGGGGAGAACTATGGTCAGCAATGGATAGATAATGCCTGAGATGACGATGTATGGGTTAAAGAAATGCACTAAATAGTATGATGATTACAGTAGTAACCTCGTTTATGAATGATTACTGGCATCTGATGGAATTCTTGCTTATTATTACAGTATAAAGCTCTGGCAGATCCCGAACGACTTATAATAATTCGGGATTCATTATTCCATCTAGATGAAAGAGTTTTCTAGGCTGTGCAAATATTATAAATACTAATACTAATGGTAGTGAAATTAAACAAAATAATTCGGCTAACTAGCAATATATTAAATATAAAACTTTTTAATATAAAATTTTTTTGTTCTTGACTCTCACGGTCCAGGTAGTCGTACTGAGAGAAAAGGATTGTTAGCAATGGAGTTTGACAGCCCCATTGCTAGCAATATACCCTATTAGGTCGATCTCCACGTGGTTCCCCCTGGAAACCATCGTGAACAATTCTTGTTGAATTTACCACAATGGGCTAACTGACCTGCTTCGTCCTCACCTATTATCTCTCATTGGTGCCCTGTTAGTGTATACTGAGAGCGCGGGCGGGCTTACCATTCCGTTATCACCCGTCCAAAAAAAACCTAATCGTACAATCTATTTGAACACTTCAGCTTGTAAAGTCTAAGGTCTATATTGGTTTATATTGGTTTATTGGTTTGCAATATACTCTTTCTATAACTCGTTGACATAATTCTCTGATATTACATAATACTATGTACTTATAATACAAAACGTTCAGTGCGGTTGATTGCAAATTTTACAATTAATCCCGCCAATGGCTCCGCGTCATTAACGTACAAGCCTTTAATCTTTCATTTTGTCTGTTAATCTATTGGATATATTGACTCAAAAATCATTGGTCATTGATCGATTCGATCAGTTTACCATCATATAGCGCTCGTATGAATATTATAGCCATGTCCAATTGCCATTCGGCTGCGTTCCAAATATTTGAAACTGCAATCATGTTGCCGCCAACAATTTTGTGGCTTAATTTTACTGAATAGGAATACTAATTCCTAGTAGTTTTAATATACTGTATTAATCCTACACTGTATATAATTTATTTACATTTATTTTTGATTAATTTTTTATTTGGATTTACTTATTTTTGTTTGACTGTACAAAAACATCAAACACCGGATCTGTTTAAGCAACTTTCAAAAGAAGAATAGATGTTATGTATTGTTCTTTAAAAAAGATTACAAGAAAGAAGTAGAAGAAAAAGATAGAGGGAGAAAATGGAAGTTCTCAATACTTTTGTGTATAAAGTATCTTCATATATTTTGAACCAATTTTGAATGTTTCATATTAATTTTGTCACAAAGGTAGCCGACTGTTTTTCTTTGTGAAATAAAATATGCTTGTTAAGACACTATTCTGCATACTAAATTATGACAAGAGTATTATCCCAACCAACGGGTCTATTATGAAACACCTCGTTATATATTGAAAACGACCGCTTTGTCTCGCACAGTGTTACCATAATATTAAATTTAATTACTTTACTTAATATTGCTACACTATTGGTGCATTCTACTACTTTTAAAATAAGAAAATTGAGATTAAAAATGCATTACACTAATTAATTGTGTTAAGAATACTGAATAAAGTAAAAAAATAAAAATTGCAAACGGATGTGACGTGATGAACTTTCATTAGAAGAACTCAAAAATTATAATGTAAAATATATGAGTAGGTACATATGTACTTAGCTGTAATACATATCATATTTAATAGTATTTGTAATAAAGTAACATCACTATTTATTTTAAATAAATATTAATTATTTAATAAAATTGAACGAGTAAACTAAAGTGTGCGCTCAACAATTCGTAGCGAGTTTATTGATATATTTGTTTGTAAAAAATATATTTCATGTAATTGGAAACAATTTGCAAAATTTAAATAAAATAGCAAAAATTTTGCAAACTTTCATTTAGATGTGTTACGTAGTTATAGATAAAACAATAAAATAAACTATATACCAGATGTACAAGAAAAATTCAAGTTTGTTCTAGATGGGGTAATCAGAGGTATTTTGTAGACGGGAACATTATTGCAATAGGGTAACACTCGACTTGATCACTCCGAGCTTTGCAGCCTAATATCATATTTCGAATATTTAAAGATAATAATAGGCATTAAGTCATGTTTGTGCATAAGAAAATTATTGAGTCTTTTTCTATAAGTTATATTTAAAAAAATTTACAATACACTTTGTACACTGCTAGAAAATACATTCATACAGTCCTTGTTTAAAACTCGAGCACTTTATCGTCAAAAAGGTTAGGCATTTTATGAAAGAATTCGTAAAAAATCGAAGTAATGCAAATTATTTCATAGTAATATATGTATATGACATTTGAAGATATTTACCTGAAATTTGATCGATGGGTGAGTACAGAGGAGGTTCCTCCCCTCCTGCTTGCTGGTGCTCAAGCAGACGATGACACGACTGTCTCATGAGCGCTCCCGACACTGTGGACACAGTCGTTAAGGTTAATTCAACTATTCTTAAGTATTCAATATAAATTGTTATTTATTTATATTTTTGTAAATTGTTATTCATATTGTGCGTTAAGTTTATAATCGACGTATGTCGGTAACACTGTTTATTTTTTTTTTATTTACTTCACTTTGCTATATTTTTTTCGTATATGTTAGTATTTCCTTAGCGTTCTTTTTTTAATTTTTCATTGCTGTATAATGGCAACACTTTTTCTTATGTATACTTGAGTGTACACATTTTTGCTACTACTCTATATATTACAATAAGATTTTTATTTAATTACATTTCGTTGAAATAAATTCAGGTTAATACAGGTATACTTACATTACCTATAGGTATTTATATATATTTCGTCTCTTTGTTTACTGGCACAACTATGTGTAGCAAACAAATATAAAATATTTATTAAATAACTATATAATGTCTAACTATAGACATTAATTAATAAACATTTTTGTGTAAATACGTAGTTATGGCACATCAGAATGACGTGTTTGTTATTTATTAGTAGGGTTGTCAAATTTGGCAAGCATTTAATTTTCTTATTCTATAATATTAAACGATCCTAATTTGAATGGTTTTAATCGATTTATTTTTATATACTTATGCAAACTATATATTTCAAGTCACGTTATGTTAGTGTCACATTGCGAAAATCTAGTAAGTATATAAGTATTTTAACTAAATTAAATCGTTCATTTTATTTGAATAAGAACTATTTTAACATATAGTACATTTTCGAAGTCTTGCTATAAATGTTAGACATTACTTTTTAATTTCCATATCCCTTTCGAATTCCGCCATAATTAGTAATTATTAATTTTATACAACTTAATATGGCCATCAAGTAGCATTATTATGATTACATCGTTTCATTAAACTTGTAAACTCATCGAGTATAATAAAGCTAATAAGAACGATTTAAATAATTTTAACAATTTAATTATTTTCTTTTTTTTTTTTACAAAGTACAAGTACTTCGCGAAATACGCATAGGCTTACTTAGAAACAATCAGTTTTAAGTGAGCTTCCGAAGACCTTGAACGTACGTAACATTAAAAATAATATAATGAAAATTAAACTTAAGAAAAACAGTCAAATAAAAGATTAAACCGTATGCCTTTGTAATTTTGCCTTTTCTGTTGTGGATAAAATCATTTCAATATTTAAAATATTGCTCAGGCATGCGTCACTTCAAACAAAACATTATCTACCTAATTTTTGTAACAGTGTACAAAATTCAATCCTTTAATACTATAGTCTACTGTAAAGTAGCTAGGTTTTTTCGCTATCAGAAGTTATTTATTTTTTTGTGTTTATATGTATTTCTAAGTGATTGTACAGTTATATTTTACAGTTTGTTCAATATAAAGGCAGTGCCAACTCTTAAATAATATTGTGATAATTTTTAAATAAATATAAAGAAAGTATAGTTAACAATAAATTGCTGTATGTTTATTTCTTAAATTATATAGATCGAGTGTCAAAAATAAAATTTAGTCAGCTTGGCCGACCGAAAGTCATATTGGCTGACTGAATGTTGACAGATATTTTTTTTAAATCAAGGCAATATGTGCTATTTTTTCAGTGTTGCAAGGAATTTGATCAGAAATTTCCCAAATCAGGTAGATTTTTTAATTTGAATTGGTAAATATTTTTCCAGTATTATATAAATATACATATGTTGTTCATAAATTCATTTTCTTTTTTATATTTTTGTACTTTTGTTACTTTCAATGATTTTTACAATGAAAACATATTTTTAAACTATTCTTAAATAAATTCATAATTCCACTTTATCAGTGAAGGTAAGCAATAATTAATATTTATGCACTTTTTTACCCTAGAATGGGGTAAATCAAATATTTGGACAAATATTGTAACATTTTATATTATTTTTATTTATCAATTTAACCTTATAATATGAATTTCTCCCATATACTTGGTGATAATTATATATTCTGGCATCCCGATTTACACCCACATGGATAAAAAAGTTGACCGATGTATTTTTACGGAGACACTCCATCTATATATCTAATCTATTGTTAACTCATTAAATTAAATGATCATGCTTAGATTTACCTTTAATCTAGTTATTGTCATTTGACTATGACCGATGGCAACCTAATCGACGACATCGTGTCTGAAACAAAGGAAAAATGTTTGTAATAAAACATGTTTTGTACATTTTACATTTACATGGCTGGGTAATATATAGAAATATGTATATATTGTAGTTTCGTTTTTATCTTTATTTATTTAGGGACTTTTGCCCTTTTAGGCACATCAGTCCCATCGTACCTTAATCAATTTTAGGACATCATTGGATATATTTTAACAAAATATAATTAAATTCAAAAGACACCACCAAATCAAATAATATGAATGAAACGAATGCCGTGGGACAAAAAAAAAACTTGATAATCTATGGTCCGATGCAGGCCTTAAGGCAATTAGATCTACACAAAATATATTGTAGTTAAAATATCTATATAGAGTAACCTGATATATTCCTTATATATTTAATATCAGTTATATTATTAATAATGTCGAAATGAAGAACGTGATCAAAAAAATATAGATATCTAATTGATATAGGTGTGTATCGAAAGGGGCGATAACCTTTTTTTTGTCATCAATGCCCAGAGGAACTCGGTATACAGAACCCGGAGCGGTAGGTACACACTACCACTATGTTAACGTGCCTCAAATTATGTAAGATTTTTAGTGTTAATTTAAAAAAAAAGTAGTATCCTATGTGTCGTTTGTGGTATGATTTATTTTTAGATTGATAATATATATGAATCTATATTAAAAATATATAGATTGGTACGTAATGAAAGGTGAAAACAGTACATGTATCTCAAAATAAGATAAGTAAATTCACATATGAAGTATACATCTGTATATGCCTGCTCTAAAAGTATAACTGGCGGTGTGTTTTTTTTAATAGATGACAATGGAGTAATAAACCCGCCGGAGCTAACGGTATACTTTGGTGGGGCATCAGTGAGAGATGATAGATGAGAAAAGGCAGGTTAGTTAGCCTAGCGTGCTAAAAACACCTAGAATTCAACACGATGGTTCCTAGGCTGGCTCCACGTGGAGGTTAACCTAACAGGGTATATTGCAAGCAATGAGACTAGTAGTCCGCATTACTAACAAAATCTTACCCCCCCTAATTGGCGGGCATAACGATACGCTACGATGTGAAAATTAGTTTATTTGTTTGAATAAATCCTCAGAGCGCCTTAACCGCTTTAGTAACCAGTACAAAATTCGGTATACACTTGCTATATGCGATGAAGAAGGACATGGAACTAATTATTATCCCAGTCCATGAGCATATCCCGGTTACGGGGACAAAGATGCAAGTAAAAATTAGTAGAAAATAAATTTAAATGTACCTTACGGCAGACAAAAACAAATATGATGGTGGACTTATAAAATTATTCTTATAAACAAATCTAACAAAATCTTAGATTACATAAATAGAGCATCAAGTGTCTAAAGACGGAGTCAATTTTTTATCAGCTAAATTGACAATTGACTGCCTCAATTTTGACACATGTTTTTTAATCGAAACAAAACACGCAATTTTTCAGTGTTGCAAGTGATTGAATTAAAAATTTCCCAGATCATTGGACCTAAAAACGAAAATATATTTTAAGTATATGCCTAGATAAAGTAATCAGTAAATGCATTATCACGAATCACTAAGCACTATTTATCTTTTTTTTTTTAATATATTTGCAAGAATTTTGTATTGATTTTATTTTTAAATTTAAACTTACGATATAATTTCTTCGTCATACTGCGTAATAAATGTATATTATGGTAACCCTATTCACACACACACACATGTATAAAAACAATTTACCTATTTTCGATATTATATATAATCTAAGGTATAAAATATAGACGCTTCCCCTATCTATTCAAAAGTCATATATAATTTACTAATCTCGTCGAACAAGTAGCTTAACGAGGTTTAGAAATATTTCATCTCATATGCTAAATTGCTAATGGGGTCTTATTCTAAATGTTATTGAATAGGGGCACAGATAATGAAAGCAATGGAACCATTATTATAAGTACGTATCATATCAATTTCATTACTGAAGGAACAAATCTATTTATCTATCTGTAATTTAAGATTTCTTTGATATAAAAAATAACATTAAGCCTTACCTTAGATTATACAGATATAGCATCGAGTGCCCAATAGGTCAAACTTTGGTCAGCTAATCAACGATTTGGCTGAATGTATTTTGACATATATATTTTTTATAACAAAATAAATGCGCGCCATTTTTTCTGTGTTGCAAGTAATTTGAAAAATATATCCCAGAAGAGAGTCAATTTTGTAAATATAATTTAGAAAAAAATTTTCTTATGTAATTTAAATATACACATATTGTTTTACAAGTCAAAAGTCTAGTAAAAAGTATTGTTTTTATTTTTTAATTTAACCTTACAATATATATATATACATTTTCCCTCTCTCTTTTAGAGTCCCTAATAACCATAGGTATATTTTGGTAACACGATTTATGCAGACATGGATAAAATAAATAATTTATATTTGACGAAGCACTTATAAGGAGACACTTTATCTATATAATCTAAGCTTCAAACGTAACAAAATTAGAACAATTTCGCTAATAAAAAAAATCGAGAAAAAAAATAGCTGATTCGATTACAACAGAACTAACCTAACACCAACATAGTAATAAACCATGATTGTAAAAAGAATCATCAAAATCTCTATTTCTCCTGTTGTAAGTATTACAATTGGAAATTGCTTTTAAAATTGGTCGTAAACGTCTGACGCCACGGTCTGCTTTACCTGGCAGCCGCTTGCACTGTTCAAGTAACTAGGATTATTCTATAAACCCTCACCAGTTCCTAGAAATCATAATTCACGAAACCAATTTTCTTTAAGTCAATTCCGTTGAATTTTATAATTATATTTCCACAAATTACTCCATCCATTCAACGGTAGCTGGCAACAGTTGACCGGGTTACGAACACTGTATTAGTTATACATAAAATTTTCAATTTCCAATTACAATTTAATTGAATGCAAGGAAATAGAAATGCACAAAGGACCGACGCCGCATAACGTTGTCAACATTTCCTATAAATAAAAACAATTAACTGAGAGTAAATGGTTCTTTGACGCGTTGTCATATACAAAAAAAAAGAAAGAAAAAATATGTAACACGTCATCTATAACAAACAATGGACTTTCGACACAACAGTGTAAGTTAAATTTAAATAGAACTTTTTTTTTAATTATTTAATAATTCTGTGATCATATGTCTTTAACTATTTGAAATTAATAATCGCCAAATTTAACGTACAAATGTTACTGTAATATTTTGATATCAGAGAAGTGGCAAACAAGCATACGGCCCACCTGATTGTAAGCGGTTACCGTAGCCTATAATATGTACTTACAATACCAGGGGCATTACACGTGCATTGGCGACTCTAAAGAAATCTCTTTACCTTTTTTTTTTAAATAAAAACCCTATACTTTAGTCTCTTGGTAAAACCTCGATAGGGAGCTTATTTAATTAGAATGCCTGGTTGAGTTACAAGTAAGTATAAGTTTATTCGTGGCTGTATAACTTAACGAACAAAAAAAAAATTGAAGAGTTCACTATGAATTTAGTTTGCTTTCCAATTTTAGATATAATAAACGATAAACTCTAACTCAAGAATTTCGTAAATAGAGACTACATATTTTACTACTCTGTAATTTAAGACTGTGTTGCATAAAAAAACAGACATCAATCGTGGCAAAACTAGTTATTTTTATTTAAAAACTAAATTAACTAAATTACTAAACTGAACTCAACTAAACTGTATTTTGGTTAATTTTTTATGGTACCAATCTGTAAGTATAATATATCCTTCAAATACAAAAGAATTTTATTTTCCAAATCAGTTTTAAAATGACGGAATTATGATGGAACGAATATAAAAAAAAAAGTCAACCGAATTGAGAACGTTTATCTTTTTTGAAGTCAATTGAAAAATAAAACAATCTCTGTCGTAGACAATTGAGAGAACAAAGAATATTTTAATGCACAGTAAAATTCTATGTACATTTGGCGGATTTAACACCGCTCGGTGTTCTCTACTAGTCAACCATTGGGCAAAATATAACAATATTTGATATATTCATGTTTTTTTTTTATACAACTTAGAATGGCAAACGAGCTGACGGCCCACCTGATGGAAAGTGATAACCGTCGCCTGTAGACATGAGCAGTACCATGGACATAACAGAGTATACTGTTTCATCCATGATACCCCCATGCGTTGCCATTCCTGAGGACTACCTCAGGCACTCTGTAAATTCACTGTCATATCCCACCCTTCAAACCGAAACACAGCCATGCAAACACAACTGCTTTACGATTGAAACACGAATGGGACAGAGGTACGCAAGCAAACGACTTTTGTACAAAGTCTACCTCTGGTATAATATAATGTATAATAAATAGACTAATATAAACATACCCATTATAGGTATATTAAATACATATCAGTATTAAGGGAGGGAAGTAGCCACCAGCCGCCTGGTCAAGCAACAGTTGCCGGAGGTATGGGATTATTAAATTGTTCAACATCATTCAATATTGGTTTATCGGTATTTCTAACAGTTGTATATTAGTATTTGAATTGCAGTATATTACTTTGTGTTTGCATAACGTCATAATTAACCAATATTAACCAGGATTGCGTAATTAAATTACCCATGCGAGAAGACTTTAAAATGATTATAAACAGTAACCCATGTATTAATATATAAAAAAGGGGGGAAAGGGATTGTTAGTAATGGGATTAAATACCCCCATTACTAGCAATATATCCTGTCAGGTCGACCTCCACGTGGTTCCCTCTGGAAACCATCGTGAACAATTCTTGTTGAATTCGTCACGATGGGCTAACTGGCCTGCTTCATCCTCACCTATCATCCTTCACTGGTGCCCCGCCGGTGTATACCGATAGCGCGAATGGGATTACCATTCCATTATCACCCATTAAAAAAAAAATATATGAAACAATAATTTTGTCCCAATACCTTAGCTTACAGGCACAGTAATACTGTATACATATTAAATTTAC